GGCTGACTTTGTTTGTGGGGCAGCAGCGGCGGTTGCAGGACTTTAAAGCGCACAGCGCTCAGAGCCCGACGATTCCCTGCTCGCGACCAATTTGACGAATGTTTGAACCCGTGCTGGGCTCCCCCTCGGTCGACTCGGCCTTAAATGAGTACCGAATGCGGTCTTGACCACCCGCCAAATCGGCGTGCTGTGCCGGCCTTCGTAGGTGCCCGCTAACAGCACGTGCCCACAAAAGTCAACCGAAAGGCTACATAGGGGATGTTTGTCTTTTGTGTACAGACATCATCATGATCATCGGCAGCCATGATCGATCCACTGCTAGATGAAGGCCTTCCCAAGCCGTCGCCATCTCATACGATCCCTAGCGATGTAACAATCCACCTGGCATAGTAGAGTTATACATACATATGTTTACGTAATCGTATTTGCATACATGCATGCTAAGTGCATATGCATTCTATCCTATTCACAAATAACTCAGTGACTCAAAAATAGCATTGCGGGGTTCACAGAGCAACAACAACAAAAATGAATCAATGTCCCTGGCAAATGATTTCCTGAAGAAGACGAGTTTGCCGAAATGTCCAGAACATGTGTTTCTTCAAAGTGGCAGTAAAACCCCAGTTGTGGTTCACCTGGTGTTGAATGCATAAACTCAGTGAATCGTCAGTAGCTGTATGCATCGCACGTTAGGTGAGTGTCCTAGGCAGGCGCATGTTAACACAACATGCCAACCGTACAGAGCGGGTGAACTCGGTTCAGTGTCATGCAAATAACAAAACTAAATTCAATGATACCATTTGTATGTTATGGTTATAACGTAATTTATTTGTAAAGATGTAATCTACACGACTCTAATCTCCGTTCGTTGTAACTTTGTTTTGTTTTCATCAATATTAGTTTTTCTTTCGCGCTGATGGCCCCGTGCTGTACAGAGGTGACACTCACCATCGACAATCATTGATTGTTTAACGCGCCCGACGCTGCTGATGACCACCGGACATGCCAAAACCGGTTCGCAAAATGTATTTTGCTTTAAACAAAACGCCGTTGGTTAACGCGAGTCTGGAAGGGCCGATTGGCGTGATGGACTAACATTTATATATTTAAAAAAAATTGTTCGACGCGGCATCTACTGAACAGATTATCTAAAGGCTACTATTGACGGTCGCGGCATTTGTAAACAAACAACGCGGCCGTGCTGCATGACTCTCGTGCGCTTACATCGTTGGTGACGTCCACCTCGCAACGAATCTTGCGACGAAGGCAAAAGCGGTCAGGTCAGCAACAGGCCCGCGACTAAAACTGCGGACGGACGTCGGTCGCGATGTCCGTCCTAGGACGTTCGCTCCTCGTGCAAGAGACGCAGAGGAGGAGCGGACTGCGTTTCATGGATTCACATTATCGCTCGCAAATTCGTTGAACCTCTTTCGCACAGTACTTCGAGTGGCATGGACCTTCAGACTCTTAGCTCACCTCGGGTCTCGGAGTTATTGGAGCGCCGCTGTGATTATGAAAAGGGCTGTTGCTTAATTCACGTGTGTAACCTGCCCCGAAGAAGGGGCATTACCGAAACGTCAGACTATTATATATACGTACATCGAAGCAGTGTTAATGAATAATGCGATGGATTTGCTGTGTGTTTAATGTGTTCTTGGGCAACACTGCCAACGCGCAGTTGATGATACGTGTGCATAACCATGGTTAAATATAGGGTCAAATAGATGGTCTGTACATATATACTTAGCATTTTTAATGTTGTTAGATTTGTTTTGCTTAAAGTATCTACGATAAGCGTCCAAACATCATAAACGAAAATAGGATGTATTTACGAAACATAATAAACCTATAACTCTTGAGTAAATATAATTATTAAAACATACGTAATGTTTAGAATATTGTTTTCTAACCGTGTGGTATATATGTACGGCATTGCTGAGACCGCGAGAGATGGTAATGACTGCATTGGTGAGGCCTTCAACCAGCAGTGGATCAATCATGGCTATTCGTGTCTTGCGCATGATGGAAATGTTCATGAGCTAAATGTCAACATCGTGTTTTTCTTTTAAACGAGTGATAAAGTCACGCGCGAATGAGCTAGACTGTATTTAACAACTCATCTTGCGACCACAATGCAACAGTACTCACGATATATCCTTCCATAATCAGTGTCAATAACATCTTGTAAATGCATAATCAACGTTTTTGGGTTTAGATCGCGTTATTTATAAATGTGTCGTAACCCTCCACCACCCGACACGGCCAATCAGTAAAAAATGTGTCACGTTGACAAAGACAAATAGTTCACTGCTTTAGCCCACCGGTGTGTTGAAGCCACAACATTTACAATTTGAGTACGACGTTTCGCTGGTAATTGCAACCAGCATCATCGGGCAATTCGCCAGAATGGTGAGGCTCTGCTGTGTCTCCCGTTCTTATATAGAGCAGCAGCAGGGTGACGTCATCATTAACTCATTAACTCATCATTTTTACTGATTGGCCGTGTCGGGTGGTGGAGGGTTACGACACATTTATAAATAACGCGATCTAAACTCAAAAACGTTGATTATGAATAACATTGGTCGCGAAAGCCTACGGGTTATCTTGTAAATGGGCAGCGTTTTGTCCTGACTCTGTCGATGAGCCTCAGGAATGACAAGGCCCGGCGCAGAGTTTGTCGGGGTTTTATTGTTTTGCGGGACACTTAGCTCGCTACATTCTTAGGTTTTTTCGGTAAAGTCACGTAGGTAAAAAATTCAAATTGATAAAAGTAAAACAAAAATAAAATAAAAATCACGACGTTTCGGAGGCAACACAAGCTTCCGTCTTCAGGTGGAACCGTCACAGCACGATACTTGATACAGCAATCGTGCTGTGACGGTTCCACCTGAAGACGGAAGCTTGTGTTTCCTCCGAAACGTCGTGATTTTTATTTTATTTATCAAGTGATACAGCAGTCGTGCTGTGACGGTTCCAACTGAAGACGGAAGCTTGTGTTTCCTCCGAAACGTCGTGATTTTTATTTTATTTTTATTTTACTTTTATTAATTAAATTTTTTTACCTACGTGACTTTACCGAAAAAACCTAAGAATGTGAATCCTTGCAGTCACGAAAGCTTCAAATCTAGAACTTTGCTCGCTGTTTCGTCACTCGTGCGCGATTGTTTGACGCGTCCCCGACGCAAGCTCGCCACACTTACGGACGCGCGCCCCCACCGCCTCGTATCCGTTTCGTGAAATCGTATTGAAATATATATTTGTGTAGAGATATATTTGTTGCTAATTCTTTCCGAAAGCACGTGCGGGAACGCTTTGTGTCCCGTTACATTTGCACGTACGGAGGAGCGTCGTGCCGAACGCGCGCTATCACGCCCTTCATTGATCAACTCGGGGGAGAACAGTTGTGTATATTTGTGAATTAGTGATTTACAGAGCTAAGTCAATCAATCTGCTGTTGGGTGAAGGCATATCGATGGTTGGTGGAGGGGTAGCTGTTTGACCACACAGATCACCGCGCTGGCAACTTCGTTTTGGCTAAGAAAGTGGGTTTGGTGAGTTCGCCTAAGCCCTGTTTAGATATCACTCACCACTGCTGTAGATGAGAATCGAACACAGGTATCCGTGTTCATAGCACAGTGCGCTAACAATGACACCACCGCGCCTAACACCCCCCCCCCATCCTCCTCCAGCCCACAATCCCCACAACGCTCAGAAACCCGTACGCGAATTCGCAGGTGAAGTTGAACAACTACGTTCGTTTTTTCCTTTCTTAAATTCGATCAAAATAATTATGGAACGGTAACTGATTTCTGGCCTTGACAATTCCATCGTAAAAAAAACTCGAGTTGGCAGCACACGCGTGAACGCGAATTCGTTGTACTCGGCCGCTTTAATATGCCCGCGTTCACTAACCACTGATTTCCTGCAAAGGCTCTAAATTGAGTTTTTTTTGTAAGTGCGCAGTTAGGGTCAGACACGGGCGGACAGATAGCGGTGCGAAACTGATGCCTCGGAAACCCACCATCGAGAAAAAGGAAGGATGTCACTTCGTGATACGTTTACAACGTTAAATGTGTTATTTGTTTACGGGGAAAGTCTCGCTAAGTCCTACGAAGACTTTGTTTGTTATTCCCTTCATGAGAGTCCAACATTGAGATGTTTGGCCGATGCAATGTGCGCGCGTTTTGGCGTAGAAAGAGCAAGCATCGTGGTGACAGTACTTACTGACAGTACTTACTGATAATACTTACTGACAGTACTTAATGACAGTACTTACTGATAATACTTACTGACAGTACTTACTGACAGTACTTACTGATAGTACTTACTGACAGTACTTACTAACAGCACTTCCATTGTTTCCAAATTAACTTATTTTTTCTTAAAATAAGTTCCGTTGATTCTCATGAAAGCAGTTGTTAAACAAAAAAATCGTTCGGACGGATTGAAATGTATACGCATTTACAACCATAGAAAACCCAACATGTACGAACCCCGTTTGCATTTTGTCTCATTAATGCGTTGAGGACGCATTTTAATCTGAAACAAACCGCGCGTGTCACATAGCGAGTCACATCGCGGCACGGTCAAATGTGACGCGTAGCGCCACGGAACACGGCACCACGAGTGGACGCGAAAGACGAACAGCTCCCCCGTGGACATGTTGTGCAGCTAATCCGAATTTAAAAATAAACCCATCCCGAGTTTGATTCGAATAACTCATAACGTGACACATTTCTCACACGTTTAAATGCAAACTCGATGATGGAAATAATTCCTCCGAAGTAAACACTCCGTTTATGTGAATAACACAGGCACGCCGCCTGCGCGTTCACCACAACCTGTACATACACTACCTCGCAACAGAAGACATTATCTGACGTTTCGGGCAATGACCTTTCTACTCACTACAGCACGAGCCGACTTCTTCCTCGGCTCGCCCCGTCAGGCGTCACACGGCTGCGTCGCGGTGTCGCGGTGTCACGGCGGGTCATGCTTACAGATGCTTGGCGCGGGCTGTACGTTCCTCCGCATCCAGTCGTAGGGGCTCTTGCGCACGCTGTCCGGGGAGCTCTCCTCGCCCTGCACGCCGCCCATCCCCCCGGACATTACCGGCAGGTACCCAACGTGCACCCCCAACGAGTGCGCGTGCTGCTGCTGCTGCTGTTGCTGCTGCTGCTGCGCCACGCTGTAGTCCGTTAGCGGTGGAGAGTACGGCGCGCCCATGTGGCTGGGAGGAGACGGAGTACTTTGCTGCTGCTGCTGGATTGTGACCATGGACACCCCGCCGGCTGCCGAGGGAGGCTGCGACGAAGGCTGCGGAGCGGCGGTTGACGAAGGAGGAGGAGGCGGTGGTGCCGGTGACGGCGGCGGCGCGACGCCCTGTCCCGCCAGCGAGTAGCCCGTCCACACGTCGTCCCGGCCGGACGCGTACGGCGAGTGCCAGCTCGGCTTGGGCGGCGCAGGGTGGTGAGAGGAGTGGTGAGAGTGGTGCGGGTGGTGGTGGTGCGGGTGGTGGTGCGGGTGCGGGTGGTGAGAGTGCGTCCCGTGCACTCCGCTCGCGTCCGGCACGGCATGGTGATGGTGGGGGTGGTGGTAGCTGCCGTAGTCGGTGTACTGCGCCGTGGCCGAGGCGGAGAAGTTCTGGTGGTTGAGTCCCGAGTGTCGCATATGGTTAGAATACATGGCGACGTCTTTCTCCAGGAGGTAGCTCACGTACATTGTAGTTGGCGCTCAGCTGGAACAACGCACATGCCTGCTGCTGGCTCCTCCGGCTCGACGCATCTGCTGGCCGCTTCTGTGCCCCCCCCCCCTGCCACCCTCCCTCCCTCCGCCCACCTTGTACTCGGCGTGCCCGCGCGTCCCTCGCCCGCCTCCCCGATCTTCTCCGCGGGGCAAGTCGCCGGGGCAAGGCGTGGAGAGGTCGCCCCTGCCAAGGCACCGAATGAGCGGCGGGGCTGACGTCACGCAATTAGAGCGGCGTCAAACTCGCTGTGTCGCGGTGCTGTCTCGTGCCCCTTGTTACTAGCACTCACGCCAGCGCGACTCTTTACTCTTATACCTTCATAGTGCACCCACCCACCCATCCACCCTCCTCCTCCTCCCTGATCCACTCCTCCCTCCCACCCGCACAGCAAACCGCGCCGACTCTCATTCTCTCCCTCCAGCCTTGCTAACCCCCAGCCCACATGCCCTCCTTAACCTCATACCCGCTCGGCCCTTGCTCGCACACGCACGCACGGCGGAGCGTGTACACACAGTGGTAATTCGCAAGCGAACAAAGTCCACAGATGGTTGTGTATGCGTGTATGCATGTGTATGTAATGCGTGTGTGTGTGTGCGCGCGCGTTGGATTTCCGCACAAGGATGACGTTTTTCACGAATATCGTCACCGGTCTTGGCTTTTCTTTATATTCCGCAGAAAATGGGCACCTGGGGAGACAAAGGCGGCCCGGCGTGGAGCTGACCACACCGTTCCGCTCGTGCGCTGCGCTAGCCTTCACGTGTGCTCACTCGCAGCACTTGCCCCAACAGCCTGTGTAGGCAATGCTGGGGAGTCTTTGTCTTTGTGACTGTGTGTGTGTGTGTGCCACCAACCCAGCCGCCACGTTGCAATCAATTTTGCGTTAATATCAACAGCGGATCACGCGCCCTGGCTCGACGCGTTTCCTAGTTTGCCTTTAGAAGGCATGGTTCTGATGCCGAGTTTACGTTCGGTGATCGTAGTTCTACCAAACTTGAGTTCCGACTTCATATTTTTTGCGACTTGAATCGGGTACATGCTCGTTGAGCTTCAGTCAACTGCATGCGATTGATTCGTGTCATCATGACCGATGCGTCTTATGATGCACTACAATTTGTTATATCGTCGTGAAATGTGATCAACAGTTTTTTATGCGCGTGTGTGTTTTATTCACTTCGTTGTAATCCAAGTTTCCCTTGAAAACCAGACTCTCTTCTCTCGGTGTGCCTCACCCGGTTTATGATGAAGGTTATACAGCCGCAGTCTCTTCCTACGCTGCGGCAATTCTGGGGTGGTTTAGAGTAGAGCGACACAGCATCAGTCAATTGCTCTCAGCGCGACATCGCACGAAACGTGGCCCACGTTCAACGTGTATCATCATCAACGGCAATCATCTATCCACTGCTGAATAAACGCCTCTCCGAGCCGTCATCATGCCTCGCGGCCTGACGATGCAACGCTCCATCTAGCACCGACAAAGTCATTCCTGCGGCTCCATCTCTCCACGGTGGTCCCAGATTCGGCGCGCTCCCTTCCCTGGCTGCCACTCAGCCATCCGACTCCACCAGCGGCCCCGTCATCCGTTCCTTCTCGTGACGCGTCCTGCCCCAAGCCAACACGTGACGCATCCGACAATACTTTACATTATCTCGCATTTTGCAAATATTAATCGTTCTAAGTTGTCTTCGTGTCCGCAGAGTTTGTGTCCAAAGCCGAGCGCACACATGGCACCGATCGGTTGCGAAACTGCAAATCGCCGCAACTCGACCGTCGCCTGCGACCGCTTTGTCCACATCCGAGCGAGTCGTTGCGCAGCGACGATGAAGTGAGACGGCGCGTTCAGTGTTCTAAGAACCAAATCATAGATCGACGAAGTGCAACACGCGATGACGAAACAACAGAGCTACAAAAAAAAACTCCCGCCGAGCAGACCGACGCTTGATAGTGCAATCCGTCTCTCACCTGGGCAACCGGTTGCGCGATCGCTCGCAATTGGTTTGCAGAGACGTCCACACGTACGCGATTCGGTTGCACGCAACCAAGTCGCGCGCAGATGATGGCTCAGGTGTGGACCCGGCTATATATACATAGGGAAGATGTGCCTCTTCGCTGCCACGCACTGCACGCAGATCGTACGGCGCTACATCAGTGCACATCGCACTCAGTGCTTTGCAGCTTGCGTGTCGGCTGAGTAGCACACACTCGCACGCACACACGCACACACACACGCACATACACGCACACATACACACACGCCCACACATGCACACACACATGCGCACACACGCACACACACACGTACACACGCACACACACGCGCGCACGCGCACACACACGCACACACGTACACACGCACACACGTACACACGCACACACGCACACACACATGCGCACACATGCACACACGCACACACACACGTACACACACACACACGCACACACACGCGCACACACATGCACACACACACACGCACGCACACACACGCATGCACACACACACGCACACAGCACGCTCACACACGCACACACGTACACACGCACACCACGTACACACGCACACAACGCACGCACATGAGCACACCGCACACACGCAACACAACGCGCACACACACACACACACGCACAACCACGCGCACACACACATGCACCCACACACACGCACGCACACACACGCATGGCACACACACACGCACACACGCACGCGCACACACGCACGCGCACACACATGCACACACACACACGCACGCACCACACACGCATGCACACACACACGCACACACAACACGCACACACACACGCATGCACACACACACGCACACACACACGCACACACACGCACGTGGTGGGGCACAGGTGAGTCGAGGGGTCGGCAACCCGCGGCTGCGATGGCTCTTTCAGGGACTGCTTCGTGACTCGCTGTTTGCTCATTGAGGGACCTCCTCCGCCGTCTTCACCACAGAGTGCATTGCGGCTCCTGAAATATCGCGTTGGAGTTTTTTCTTTCACCGAATTTGAATGATTATTTATCTCTTCTTCTTCTTCGTGGTAGTATTATTATTTTGGGTTTCCAACCCCTGGGGTAGCCAACACACGCGCCAATAGACGCATTGCGTTGTTCGCGTCCCACAATCCACGCTTCTCTAATAAGGTAATATCCGTTTAAGCGGAGTCGAGAATTATGGATACCGTGTTAGATAAAGTCTGAGAGCCGATGGGCTCTTTTATGGCGTCATAGCCCCGGGGTTTGTAAATAACCCCTGTTGCATCAGACACTATTGTTAACAGCTGGCAATGGACGATAACAACAACAACAACTACAAACAGCAACAACCATTGAGAACTCATCGGCAATTCAGAAGTGGTCACCGCGTGAGCTTGACAAGTGTGTAATAACTGTGATGATAATAATAATAATCATCATCATCATCTCAAATGTCAAGCCTCCACTTGTATGTGTAATAAACCAATGTCAGGGCACGAATACATTGAAAATCACTCGATTAATTGTCCTATAACAGTTTGACATCTTTACAGCGTTGGTGGTGCTGCCGAGGTGTTTAATGGTGAGCGATGCCAGTTCTGGACTTGCAATCTTCGGGGTCGCCGATTCGATTCGATCTCCAGGCGCGCCCTCTGAAGAAGAAACCAACCCACCCGTCTCGGTTCAGCCAGCGGTGTGGTGGGGTAAAGTGTGGGCACTCCCACCCCTCCCAAGACGTCTTGCCGGCGTGGAAGAGTAGGCCAAATACCCTCTCGAGGTGAATTTCTAGAACTCTGAGACAACGGGAAACGTTGTCTCTGAAGAAGAACCAACCCACCCGTCTCAGTTCAGCCAGCGGTGTGGTGGGGTAAAGTGTGGGCATTTCCACCCATCCAAAGACGTCTTGCCGGCGTGGAAGAGTAGGCCAAATACCCTCTCGAGGTGACTTTCTAGAGCTCCCTCTCGCGGACGCTCTTCTACCAGCAGTGGCGTGAGCGAGCAGTTGCAGCGCTGCGCTTTTACTTTGTTCCATTGATAACGTGCCGGCCCTTTATTCAATCCCAGTGCTGATACAATTCCTCAAGTCACGCCGTGTCGGCCACGGGCTTTTATTGCCACACTTCACGCTGCATCGCTCTTGTTCGTGATGGGAGGAGCGAGGTGGGGGGGTGGACGTGAAATCTGCATCGATATCGCGTGCCGCTGGTATCAGCCGCAACCGGGAATCGAACTCACGCAGGCTGAGGTTCGGATCGCTCAGCAACGCGCACCGGCTCCGACCGCCACGTGCTCGCGTCCCTCACGTGGGATGCACGTGGGATGGAGCGGTGGCGCAGCGGTTAGCGCACGGCGACGTTGATCCGCCCGCGCCTTGGTTTGAATCCCGTCCACCTTGAAGCCGCACTGACCGGAGTGAAGAATGGACGAGCAACTCCCACGACCGACACGTTGGGCCAACGTTGATTGGCCCAACGTTCCACGTTAACTGGGGCGTGAGAAGGGCAGTCATTCGGATTTAAAACAGCCCGCAGTTCAATGCACGTGGCGTGTTGTTGGTGCAATAAAGCCACGTGCGCCCCAGTTTAAGATTCGTCAGAAAATCGAGCAAAGAGACGAAATCGGGGATTTTTGGTTTGTTTCGGATTGATCAGAGAACACTTCCACGCCTTCCCGCATGTCACGGGATGTCACGTGGAGTGGGCAAACGTCACCATTCTCAGCGTCGAGATATCTCGATGTATTAGTACATCGTGGCAATGATCATAACATCCGGATAGGTCCGATGTCGTCTTTAAATACTCGAACATCCGAAATTCGACTTTGCAAATCCGAAATTCATTCTTCGAGCATGGAATGCATATTGGACTCGCGTGACCTCTACATCCGCTAGTGGCCGCTACGTGAACCACGATGCCTCGAAAAAAAGTACTTAATCGATTCTTAAATCGCGTAGGTGGGTTGAACTTTAAAACCATCACGTTCTTAAACGGCCACTGCAAAGTCACTCTCGCCTTGTCCGTCCAATGCGCGGTGTGTGTGTCTTTGTGTGTGTGTCTTTGTGTGTGTCTTTGTGTGTGTGTCTTTGTGTGTGTCTTTGTGTGGGGAGCGGTAATGTAGTGGTTAGCGCGCTGCGCTACGAACCTGACGACC